TGATGTGGTTGAAAACTAGATAGTTGTAATTTCCTCAGTTATGATAAAAGATAAGTTAGATATAAAACCTTAAATTCACAAATATAAGATAGCTAGGACATCTTCTTTAATATTGTAACTGTAATTCTTGCTCGATAATTGTTTTGTTATATGTAATTTTACCATGTTAAAGTTAAAACCTTACTTTTAAAAAAAAGAAAAAAAGGGAAAATGCTGTGGATATCATTCTATATAAATAAAACACTGATGGCCAGTGACCAGGCAGGAAGTAGGTGGCCAGGCGGGAAGTAGGTGGGACAAGGAGAGAGGAGAATTCTGGGAAGTGGAAGGCTGATGGGGGAGACACTGCAGCCACCGCCAGGACAAGCAGCATGTAAAGACTCTGGTAAGCCACCAGCCACGTGGCAAGGTATAGATTTATAAAAATGGGTTAATTTAAGATATAAGAACAGTTAGCAAGAAGCCTGCTACGGCCATACAGTTTATAAGTGAAAAAAAAAAAAAAAAAAACTTCAACATGCTTCTAATGTGATTGATTTGGTTGACCTTTAAAAATTGTTACCTAATTTTTCCAGGTTAGACAGATATTGATGAAATAATAAAAACAATTCTAGTATATATTTACACTTTTTACAACTTTACAGTCAACATTTACACTTTTTACATATTTACAAGTAGCATGAATATTACTATATGTACTTACACATTTTAAAAAATTTATATTCAAAAGGAAACTCCATTTGCACATTTTACAAACTTATGTTCAACATATTTACAATTTGCATGAATATCACTCTACATACTTATACTTTTTACAAACATATTCAAAAGGAAACTATAGAACTATTTTACAAACTTTAGCACACATCTAGAAAAAAATCTCATCACTATACATATTTACAGCTAACATGAATATCACTATACTTATTTATACTTTTTACAAACTTATATTCAAACAAAAACTCTATAGAAATATTTTACAAACTTTAGCATATATCTAGAAGAATCTGTTAACAGAATTAACTTACATTCAAAAGCAAACTCTATAGAACTACTTTACAAACTTTAGTACACATCTAGAAAGAATCTCTTAACAGAACTATTATCACTATACATATTTACACTTTTTACAAATTTACATTCAAAAGGAAACTCTATAGGACTACTTTACAAATGTTAGCAAACATCTAGAAGAGATCTCTTAACTGAACTATCATATTTTCTTTCAACAATACAGAGTATTCATAAATCACAAGTAATTACCATACTGAGCTACTGTAAAGCTCTTGGAAAAAACTTCCTGCTCAGTTAATAGGAACCATCTTTCTTAAAGGATCCTGCATTGAAACAGAAGCAGTATGGCTCCAGGTTCCATTTCATTTCAGCTTTTCTGGAGAAACATCAGCAGCTATGGTATTATTAGAGCTGACATTTCTTTGTTCTACACACCTCACCAAACTCAGGCCACCACCAAGCTTCATTTGGTAATTGATGGTACAATTTTCCCACTTCTTAATTTTGAAGCTGCTTTTAAAATTAAATTTACCATGATGCCAGTGTTTCTCTCTTGCATTTCAAGCACAATCCAAGTTTTTTTTTCTTTATCTGCCTGTAGGTTTTTTCCATATATAAAGCAATTTCCCAGTGTATTGACCACTTTCTCTTGCTTTCTTAAGGGTTTCAAAATGACTTAAGAAGTGTCATTAGCATCTTAATTGCCTCCTGACAGGCATCACCTGTTTCTAATTTTGGGGAAGCAAAGCTATTTTCTAGCAGTGCTTGGGGGGAAAGCAATGTTTTGAGCTGAAAAAGCAGAGTTTTGGGGGCAGTATTTGAAAGATTTGTCCCAGTCTATCTGCCTTTTCTCCAGGCCTGCTTGCCTATGCCACCTTGCTTTCACAAATTACATTTCCCAAGCTGCCTTTCTCTATAGAATCATGTTGTTACAAACTACATTTCTCAGGCTGCCTTTCAGGTCCAGCTGCAACCAATGTTAGCCACTGCACTCCCGGTTCTTGTTTACACAATCTGTGTTTGTACTGAAATCAATATTTTGCTTTTTTGCCACGGGAGACTTTTGTTCACTCTGAGCTGGCATTGACAGGTGTACTTCTTTAACCTGACACTGTCCCTGGAGTGGCCTCCCCCCACCCATGCGCACTTATGGATCGGTGCTTCTCCCACCTTACTGGGTCAGTGAAAGAAAATGAAAGTACTTTAAATAAAAGCCTTTACAGAAAGATTTTTCCCCAATAGATCTCTTTTGTCCCTGCTTGTCCCCTCCCCCAGGATGCAGATTTCCTGATGCCACTGCTGCTGCTCAGGACCTACACTAAGAGTGCCACACTCTTCTCTTGCAGCTGGGCCCAACAAGCATCCCACAACAGCTGCACCTCTTCTGTGCCTCTGGGAACGCTCTGCCTCTAGCTGCTTTTTTAATACTGGCTTGAAGGGGAGACAGGACTAGCAGAAAGGGTTTGCAGTGTTCCAAGAGGTGTTTTTTCTAGGGCAATTATAGGAGACTTCCCCATTCTGATAGATGTTCTTCCCAGGTGAATCTAATTTTTGCCTTTATAGGAAAAAAAGAGATCTGAGAAGGAAAGACATGAAAAGCTTCCAGTTTTTGAGAGAGAGATTACTATGCTTTTTTAAGTCTCCTAGTTCTTCCCTTGTCTGCCTCAGAAAAAAATTTTCCCTGCCACTCAAGCCTTAAAGCTAAGTTATCCACAGGCCAAAGCTTCCATAGGAATCTTTTTCTGCCCATTTCACTCAAGGTGATTTTTCATGTCTCCAATTCTTCCCCAGGAGTTTGTATTCATAGTCCCATATTTGGAAAATCAAGGACATAGCTTCTTTGACTTGTTGCTTATCTTATCCTAAGTTTTTCTATACTATATTCCTATATTTTACCTTACCATAAGATTTTTCTTACACTATATTCCTATTTTCTACCTTATATCTTTTCCTTAATTTTTTTATGTAGATATTAAGAGAGAAAAAAGAAAGAAATCTAGATAGAGATAATCACTGCAGCCTAACTTTTCACTTCTTTATTTCTTTCAGCCCTCTCACTATATCTATAATCCTAAAAATGGATTACCCCCACCTTCATTATACTACAAAAGAAGGCATGCCCAACTGCTTTCTGTGAGTCCCCCAACCCTCCTTTTGCCAAGTCCCTGTTCCCTGTTCTTGGTGCCATCTGTGGAGCGACTACCCATTTCTCTGTGGGAGGCCCAATCCCATTTTCCCCAGGGTACTCTTGAGGAGGGAAGAGTGAGAAATATTTAGATAAAAGGATAGAGGGGAGAGAAATGGATAGAAACACAGGATAGCCTTGGGAGGGCCTAGATCATTGTGCATTGGCTCCTTCTGTCTCTTCTAAAGGGTCTTTTATAGGAATGCCAAAGGATGGAGCAAAAAACTCCCTCTAGAACAGCCAAGTGCAGATTCTCCCAATCACACATGGTCAAGCAATCCTCTAATGAACCCCTGCTGGATAAAGCAAGCTCAGATCTCACTAATAAACCTTTGTGGGTCTCTACAGATGAAACTAAGAGAAGACTACAGAATATACTAAAGACTAAGAATGTAGCCAAGTTAGATAACATACATGACATTGTGGGTTTGAGCCCCAGCATTAAATAAACAGAGCATAGTAGTACATGCTTGTAGTCTTAGAATTCAAGAGGTGATGGAGGATGATTAGAGCTTCAAGGTCTTCCCTGGCTATATAGAGAATTCAAAGCCATTCTAAGCTATTTCTCACCTTGTCTTTAATGTCTCTGGGCCTGCCCCAGCTTCCATATTTAAAAAGACACTCATTATTTACTTTGAAGAACCATTCAAAATAAGCTCCATGTGACTCTGGATTCTTAACAATGTGTGTCTTATGCCAGAAAAAAATAGCCAGACACAAGAACATCTCTGGGATTTCTGATGAGATAGATCACCTTAAATAGGAAAATATAAGTGAAGGTTAATATAGTCATTCCAAACCTGTTAACTGGCACAATTTATATGAAATATCAATCAAATATACAAAATCTAAAAACATTTATTACTTTTTTGGACAAAATATATACATAAGTGTAAAATATCTATAGTCAGAAACCTCTTTTATAATTTCATTTGATTTACAAAAATATAACAGCAAAATGAATGAGGTCACAATTATTGTAAAAAACAAAACAACAACAACAAACCAAGACTGATTCAATAGTTGTAAAGATCAATAACTTAACACTGTGAAAGACCATCCATCCAATGGAAAAGAACATCTTACATATTCAGAGTGATGAGTACTGTGCTAAATCTATCTGCAAAATGACAAATTGATTTCTGTAACTCTAACTACCAAATACAACCTCTCAAAATAATCATGATGCAGCACTTAAAGCTAATGTGTCATTGCACAATGGTGAACACAAAGATGTACAGGCAACTAAGAAAGGCTGAGAGTGGGAGAAATCGACCTACTCTGGGAAATGCATAACAATTGGTTACCAATAACAAATGCTCACCCCTGAAAACAGAGTTACAAGTAACATTGTATAAATGGAGCAGGTTATACTTAAGTATTTAGGAATATGCAGATACATAACAGATATAACAACAATTCATGAAAAGAGAGACCAAATATTTGAAAGAGAGAAAGCAGGGGTATATGGGTGGGCTTGAAGATAAGAAGAGGAAGGGGTGATGATATAGGTAATTATATTATAATCTCAAAAATAAAAGAAATAAGTTAAAAATAATTATTAATAAAATAAAATTTATATTTTGTACCAATGTTCTTTGAGACATTATTCTAGAATCCATCTCTTTAGGCATTAATTTCTCCAGCCAAGGGTTTGCCAAATCCAGATAAGATACTCGCATAAAAGTGAATGGTCCCAACTTCATTGTGATATTTTCAAGAGAAATTATTTTTCAAAGTTTGTCTTTGTAGTTTAAGCATAAAATATTTTTAGGTTCCATGGTGGAGGGACTTCCAGAAAACTTTCTTACTAACAAGAAGCTATGATAAGTGAGAACCTGGATATCTCTGATCTCTTATGGAGATCCTCCATCAGTGACATGGGTGACTCCTGTGGCTACTGATCTCAATGGACAGCTATACACAGCAGGACATGGTGGGTACAGATGAGCCATGACTGCTGAGCAATCTCCATGACTAGAGCACTGATGCCTGGTCAGGCTGCTTCCCCTATGAGCAACTCTGCCTTGAGTGATTTACCACAGGGCATGGGCTATGTGTAGAATTGGAATTAACTAATTGACTGTTATGACAAGAAAACAGTAATATACACTGTACACTAAAATTTGACCTGTATGTGTAGTTCTTGAATGCTCTAGTTGATATTTCATATTCTCTTGTATATCTGCCCAGGATCACTGTGTGGTGCTTGACATCCTGGTACTCTGATGTAGTCTGAGGAGGGGACACAACAGCATCACCTAGTGCATGAGAATCCCAGCTTCCCTCTCCCAACCTACACCATCAGAGTGCATATCATCAACAACTCCAGAGCCTGTTATGGTAGCATAAGTTCAAAGACCATTTTGTAAAAGATTTGTCAAACACTGGACCTTGGCCTTGGAACTGAAGAAAGACTTGGGGAAAAGATGGATGGAAAGGTGGGAAGTGATGAGGCGTGGTCCTTCCTTATTGATTAATGTTTGATATCCATCTTCAGACTCTATCCAGGGTGAGTGTTCCCAGGTAGGCACAGATTGGACCCACTCATGTTTCCCCTTGGTCTGAATCAAGCAGACAATCTCGGTCAGCCAATTAGTTCCTGAAGAAGGAAAAGTGGTGGTCACTATTTCAACAGTACTTGCAGAAAAGCCTCAAGTAGAATATACAACCACACAATTTACAGTGTAACTGTTTCCAAGCACACAGACCTGTGTGTTCACAATGTATATAGGGTCCAAAATATATTCATCTGGCGCATTCCCAATGCTTGACCTGGAAAAACTGAGACTATATTTAACAAACTCCACCTGTCTACTGAACATCACCTCCAGTCCTGGGCCATCATCATTCTACAGTCTGATGAAGTGAATATGACTATCCCAGATATTCACATGGATGCAGTCATGAAATCTGTCCTTGAGCCTGGCTCTTGTCATTTAATACAATGCTGTCATGCTGCAGTGTGTATATGAGTACTGCTTCTCTTTAAGGTGAACAAATCCCCTTGTGTCTATTTGCCACACACACTTGTATTTGTGTTTACATGCTTCTTGGTCAATGGATATTTCTCTAGCTTTTGTCTCTGGACTATTACCTGAATCTTTTTCATGCATTCCCCTGACCTTGACTTTTCCATGTTATTGCACTTTCGATGTCAACAATCTAAGAATTACCCAATGTTCAGTGCTTTTGCCACCCAGCAAACACCCCTCCCCCTGCCACACCAACTCCAGTAGAATCTGTGTGACAGGCTCCACAGATTGCGGCAAAAACTTCAAAAGAAGGAGGACTCCTGGATCCAGTTGTGGAACTCTTGGCCAGAACAAAATATTAAGCCGTAGTTCTCATGGCAATCTATCTGTTTTATCTTCTTCTATTCTCTTTTCATATTTACGTATTTATAAGATGTTCCTGATACCTAGGCTGATATTTTAAGGAAGAAATATGGAGGAGAAACAATCCCTTGAGATGGGGTCACTAGCCATGATCTTATCTCTGGGAAAAAAAAACAGTGCTTTACTTAGCAAATCATTTACAAAATTATAAAATAGTATTATAATAAAAACTTTCCTATCAGTAAAATTTCATATGGCTGCATATGTGTCATCAAAATGGGCTTAGATATATGATATAGAAAGCCTTAAACAAAAAAAGAATTAATAGTTTAAATTTACATCTTGAAGATTTACAAAAACTAGATACTAGTTATTAAACAACTGTCCATAAAAATTTATTAACCTGTTCTTGGAAATTTACCATTAGCGTTGGATGATTTCATGATTTACTCTGCCAAATGACAATGATGTTATCTGTCCAATCCATGATTGCTTCACTAAACACGTCTTTTAAGAATTTTAATACTTGTTTTACTATGTATAAAAAATCCTTGCTTGAAAGTTGCATAATACACTCAGATTCAAACTGCCTCTGTGTTTGTTTCTGTTTGTCACCCCCAAATCATTACCCACCTAGTCACTGAGGAACCTCATGCCAGGGATCCCATATCTGACTGGGGTGGTCCACAGTATCCCCCAAAACCCATGATGCCTCTTTTTGTTTCCATGAGTTTTGAGGCTCTTTCCCCTACCTGGACAAGGTCCACGGTAATTCTACCTGACATTGTCCATTCCTCCACATATTCTTACATCCATGCCTTTATATCTTGGTACTATTTCTTGTGTTTATTTTCATGATTTCCCTCTTCCACTCTCCTCCACACAGAGACAGAACAATGCCAGAGTCTGCTTTAGGATCCACTAACATTGCTCTCACGACTTGACCAATCCTCTGCCCACACAGATCAGGCTGGAAGTCTTTCTCTGAGTGAAAATGCACTCACACACAGCTCTCCATGCCCACAAAACATTTTTTGAGGTTTAAATGTCTTTATTTTTTTATTTTTCTTTATTAAGAAATTTTCTTTTTTTAATTTTTTTCTTTCGTTTTTCTTTATTAAGAAATTTTAGCCGGGCGTTGGTGGCGCACGCCTTTAATCCCAGCACTCGGGAGGCAGAGCCAGGCGGATCTCTGTGAGTTCGAGGCCAGCCTGGGCTA